CCCTGTCTGTCCTGTAAGTCCATCTCCAGGCCAGGGACTGGGCCCCACAGTGCCCCAGACGTTCAGGTGCCCTTCCTTCCCGGGAGAGGACCAGGCCTGCCTTGCCGTGTTTGTTTAAGGCCCAATGGCCTTAATCTCCCATGTCCCCCTCCTAGCCCACCGCGGCCCTTCTGGGAGGTCCCTCGGTCCCCCGCCCCAGCACTGCCTCGGCCACACCCAGGGCCTGTGCCCACCGTGCTGGCGTCTCTGAATCTCCACGCAGCGGTCGTTGATGAGCTGCACAGAACCCAGGCTCCTCACGTCTTCGTTGACACACAGGTTCTACAAGCCACGAGCAAGAGCTAGAGACGCGGTGTGGCCGAGCGGCACGCAGGCCTCGCAGCCCCCAAGCCCCTCTCCTCCTTCCGCTCGGCCCCGCTGTCTTTCCACGCCTGGACTCAAGACACAGGCGCAGGAGCCGGGGCAGGAGGGCGTCCGGGGCAGGAGGGCACCCGGGCCAGGCCTCTGCTCACCTGCCGGGAGCCAAGGGACACCAGCCGGACCTCCCTGCCGAAGGGGCTCTTGCGGACTTCCTGCACGAACTGGGCCAGCTGAGAGTGCGTCCTGCTGCAGTAGTAAATCTGCTCGGAGCACAGGAAGGGGAGTCAAGGAGGGGACGCTAACAGCGCCAAATGCTCTCTGCACACCAGGCCTACGGGCCTGTGGGAACAGGGACAGTGGTCGCAAACTCGGGTCCCTAGGACCCCAGTGAGACAGCATCGCCCCGCGTCGGATGGCACCGAGGAAGCCAGGCCGGCTCTGACCCAGTGGAGGCCCAGGGCTCGGGATCCTGGGAAGGCAGCGTCGCCGCTGCTGAGACTTTGGGTGGCACAGAACCCTGCCCTCCTGGGGACAGTGTGGAGGCTAGGGCTGTTCCCACGCCTTCCCGCAGCGAGAGAGGGAGGCCGAGATGGACACTGTCCCCCCTCGGGGACTTGAGTGAGGACAGGGAAACAGAAAGAGGGCGCACGCCTGCGTGTGCGTGTGCAGGGTGGCGCCACAGAGAAGGGCCCGGGCCTCGGCACCCTACCTTCGTGACGTGCTCCTCCTCCAGGTCCTCCTCGTCCTCATCCTCATCCACCCTGAGACAGAACACACAGCACTCTTCCCCCGCACGCAGGTCCGCTGAGGGCCCCCACTGGGCACTCGCCGAGGGAGCCCCGCTCCTGACACCGACCGAGCGGGGGGAGCTGGGGGTGGGGGGCTCAGGACGAGAGGCAGCACAGCTCCACCCAGCAGCGGGGTTCCCCACAACCAGGACACCCCAGGCGGGCTCCAGCCCCGCCTCCCCTGCCGCTCGGGTCTGTGAAACCCAGGGTTGTGGGGAGAAGGGGAAGGGGCTCCGGGTCCCCAAGCCCAAGTCACAAGCCAGGGGCCTGGACCCAGAACAAAAATAATCTTTGAAGGACCGGGGTGCAGCTCAGTGTGAAGCACACAGGACCCAAGTTCCTTTGCAGGAGGCTCTGGACGGGCAGCAGTGGAGCCCAGCATTGGATTCAGACAGGTGCTCTCCTGCCAGACCCCTCGAGCTCAGCCGCAGAGGGGCGGTGCTGCAGGGCTCCTCCCATCCTTGGGAAGGCCATGGACTTGGAAGCCTGGGTCACACTGGTCTCTGGGTGCGTAAACCCTCCCTGCGCAGCCTTCCACTGAGCTGCGACTCTGCCCTCCCCTGACCTAGGGGGCCCACAGAAGCTGCCACCGCACCGTCCCCAGCCCCTCCGTCCCTCCCTCATTCCCGCTGGTGCCTGGATGCACACCTCGCCTGGTGCCAGCCCGCTGCACACGCAGCTGTCCGGCCTCGATAGGCTGCTCCTCACACAGCAGCTCCTAGGGGCCTGTGCAGCCTGACCCGGAGGCATGGCCTCACCGGGCGCCTCCTGCCTGTGTCCCCCAGCTAACACGGTGGCAGCTCCTCGGGCAGGGCCACCTCCGACCCTTCCACCCGCCCAAGCTGAGTTCCCTTCATCAGCTGCCAGCCTGGAGAAGGTCAGCCCTGTCCCTCTGGAGTCTAGGACCGGCGCGAGTGTCCCCACGCTTGCTGACTCTGTGGCCAGTGTCTGTCGGAAGTGACTCCAAGCGACAGCACCTGATCAAGGCCACATGGGAGGACAGGCCAGGGACGCTGGAGGAATTACAGCGGAAAGGAGGCTCTCCGGACTGTTCTGTGGCCTCAGGGCCCCCAGCAAGGGAGGCTGTGGGACAGAAACCTCCCATCTGCCGGCCAAGCGGGTCCAGCCCAGAGCCGACCCTCCAGGAGGGAGGAGCGGCCTTCGGGGAGCCCACGTGCGGCCGCTTCCTCCAGGAGGGAGGAGCGGCCTTCAGGGAGCCCACGTGTGGCCGCACAGGGTGACGCCGAGGCGCTGTCTCACCCGCTGGCTGCCCTCCTCTCCTCGTCACTGGTGTACTCCGCCAGCACCAGCTCTTCTTCCCCGGGCTCCAGCTGCTCCGCCCCGGCTTCCTCGGCCAGCATCTCCCTGCTGAGGCGGAGGAGCGCCTCAGTCTCCTCCTCCTCCTGCCTCTGTGTAGGGGAGGGGCAAGGAGCAGGCTCAGCACCGCGGCCCTGGTCTCTGATGGCCTCAGCCCGGCTGTCACCAAGGGCGGCCCCAACACAGCCACGGCCAGGGCCTCGCTGCCGGATTATGAGGAACCCAGTCCCGGACTCTGCCTCAGCTCTGGCTGCCCTGCTCGGCAAGGCGGCGATGGCCAGGGGGACAGAGAGAGCAGAGAGAGACCTGGCCAGCAGGCGGAGTCTCCCGCAGTGTGACTGGGGCCGGGCAGGCGCTCACCCGGAGCCGGGCTGCGTGCCTGAGCTGTGCGGTGTGGCGGGTCTGCTGCAGCCGCTCCTCGCGCTTCCTCCTCCTGGTCTGCTCCTCCTGGGGACACGGCTGTGAGGGCCTCTGCTGGCCTCCAGAGCAGGGGGGCTGCAGCAGCCCCTCCCAGCCCTCAAACTCTGCAGGTCAGCCTGCTGCCTGGGGCGGGAAGTCTGCATCTCCTCCAGGGCCGCACCCTGGTCAGACTCCTGCCTGCACTGCATCTGGGGGCCCAGACCCAGCGCCAAGGGCAGCCATAGGCGCAGGGTCATGGGGACGGGGACCTGGAGAGGGACAGGTGGCCTCGGCGCAGAAGGACGCCGAGGCTGCTCCAACTTGAGGACGCTGCCCAGCCCTCACCTTCCCTCGCTCTGCCAGATCCCTTTCTGCCTTCCTCTGCACGAACTGGGTGACCCAGTCCGGCTCTCCTGCAGGCCTCGGGGCGGTGGGGGACCCTCGGCAGGAAGACGAGGTTGCGGGGTGCAGGTCCTGCCCCTCCGGCAAGGGGCCGGCTGCAGGTTCAAGGAGACACTGCACCTCTTCTTGCTGTTTCTTCCGCTCGAAGTCACGGAGCCAGGACAGGGCCCCGCAGATGAGACTTAAGGACTTTCCCTGTGGGGGGAAAGAGGCCTCAGAAACAGAGGGCACCGAGCTAAGCTTCCAAACATCTCCCCTCTTTTACTGTGGTACCTGCCCCGGGCCTCGTCCATTCCAGGCAAGTGCTCTACCACGGAGCTGCACCCTCAGACCTTTCGCTTTTTCCTACGTTTAATTCTGAAACAGGCTCTTGATACGTTACCAGGCTGGACTTGTCCCTCTGACGCACCTGCCTCGGCCTTCCAAGTAGCTGTCTCACGGACAGACACCTGGTCAGCGTCCTCCCTCCAGCTGAAAGTGACCCAAGGAAGTTCCTGAGGCTATGGCCACAGTTATTCCAAAAACAATCGTGGGTCCCCCTAACACAAAGACTAAAGAGTAAATGGAGGCCGCCCCGCATGGCTCTCTCCCGTAAAAAGACCACAAAAATTACAGTCTGAGGGACTCAGAGGTGTAGTTCAGTGATTTAAAATGCATGAAAGCTGGGTGTGGTGGCACACGCCTGTAATCCCAGCACTTGGGAGGCTGAGGCAGGAGGATCGCCAACCTGGGTTCGAGACCAACCTGGGATACACAGTGAGTTCCAGGTCAGTCTCAACTACACAGTGAGACCCTATCTCAAAAAAAAAAGAAAAAAAGTATGAGGTCCTAGGCTCCACCTAAGCACTGCAAAGAAGGAAACAAGCAGATGAAAGAAGAAAGGTGGGGCCTGGGACCTGCTAAAAGGCTGTGTAGCGGAATGCTGGCATCTGTGGCGGTGCTTACCTAGCACGAACAAGGCCTGGGGTTCGGTCCCCAGTACCAAAAACAAAATATAAAACAAAAACCCTAACGCTCACCAGTGTAGAATACACTTAACCGAACACTCCCAAGCACCTGGCCTGAGCACCGGCATCTCCTACAGCACCACCCCAGGCCTCACGCTGTAAATCTCAGCCCAGGTAAGGAAATTCATTCGCTTTCCCGACACCGCCTGGTGTGGGGCAGGCGCAGGACACCCTGGAAAGTGCCCAGGGGAGAGACAGTCACGTGCACTTGGAAGGACAGCACACGCGGCGGCGCAGTCCAGCTAGCGACACTCTCAGAACCGCAGCACCACAGAGCACCGCAGAACCAAGATGCCAACCCCGGGGGCTGGAGTCACGGAAGGCTCAGCGAGTGGCTTGTAGGGAGACCAGGCACCTTGGGCAGCTGTCGGGGAGGGCGTGCATCAGAAGCAGGCGGGTTAACAAAATGCCACTCAGGGTGGAAGACGGAG